TAGTAGTAACAAAAGAATTCGAAAACGAGTCGCTGCCCGCTCTTGCCCGTCCAACACCCAACACCCCGGCGGCAAGACGCGAGGCGCTTTCCACAGCGCCTCATTTCACACTCTCGTGCCTACCGCCCGACGACGACCGCTTCCATCAGCAAAGCGCGGCAGGAGCGGAACGTCGTATAAAAATGAATTCAAGGACAAAACAATGAAAAAGAGAATCCATCACCATACGCCCCACGAGACCGCACAGCAGCGACGACGGCGCACAAAGGAAACACGCAGAAAATTCCTCAGACACGTGGCCGCAAAACAAGCCCGTGGCGATGACCCAAACAGCGCCCCCAATGCAATCGCCCCTTCCAAGCACAACGCGGGGCTCGCAGATGCCAAGCGCCACGGGGGTTCTCGGGGAGAAGCATGCCACCGTTTCACTCACACCGCGCGCAAGGCACGTGGATCTGTACACGACGCCCCCCCACCTGGCACCGATATGCCTTCCTAAGCCAAAATCCCGCGTCGGCCTCCTCCCTCCCCAACGGTATCCCCCACACGGGCGCCCGACAACATCACACCGCCGCCAGCCGCTTACCGGCGTGCTGTCCGTGTGTTGCGCACAAATAATCTCACGACACGTCGTGGTCAAAATACTCCCAACCGTTAAAATATGCCGCCAAATGCCCCTTGAGCTGCCTCATCGTGCTGGCTGTGGCGGGGTGCGCCATTGCCGTGGTCATGCGCAGCCCAGCCGTCGCCTCCCGCAGCGAGCGCACGAAGAAAAGAACGCCCACCAGCGGAAAGTTTCCGACCGCTGGCACGCACAACACCCGTCAGCTCATACCAACCCTCCCGGAACTGCCTCGCCTTCCCTGCTATTCAACACAGCCGGTGGGGCGCCCTCGGTTACATATTTGCAGCGCGGTGCGCTTTGGCTCCCGTCGCCCTGGCGGAGAAGTCAGCTCCTTGAGCTTAGGGTGGATTCACTCCACAGCGCCCCCATTCGTGGGTGCGACCGCGCCAAACACATCCAGCGACCTCCACAAAATGCATTCCTCGCCATGCATTAAGTGCTTCAAGACATCGGCCGGCGGTGTCATCGTTACCAAACAAATCAATATTTTGCGCCCGCTCGCAGTGGGGACCGCAGTGTCGAGGAATATCCCGCTCCCTTTATGCCCCATCACCCAAATGATCCTCAGGGGTTTGTGCGACGGACCATCACTGTACCGCATTTCCCCACTTTTCACGCCAACGCGTTCATGAGCATTTGATGAGGCAATCCATTCCACGGCTCCCTCGCAGCGGAAAGGCGTGCATTAGTATCTCTCTCACTGAACAGGTCGCGGAGGATGGATCCCATCCCATCCATGTAGCCTCTTACCTCCTGCCAGTATTCCACCTGCGCCTCAGCTGACTGATCGCGCTTCTTCCACACGCACATTGCCTTCACATCGCTCTCCTGTGGGCAACTCATTATGATCCGCCTGCCCCTCAACTGCTTCTTGCATCCTCTGCGGGCACTCTCTTCTGGTGGCGCCACCACAATCATGCACCATCCCCTGGGAAGCAAACGAACAGACGGTTCATGAATAGGCTCGGCCACGTTGTGGATGAAATACCCCCTCATCCCACGCCCAGAAAATTCCTCCACAGCCTTCAAAAACGTGCTTTCACCAACGTAATGTAGCGCCGTTTTGGTGATCTTGTCAAACAGAAATGTTTGTTCCGCAACACTGTACGCAACCACAGGGAGTTTCTCCGCATCGTAGTGCAGCAGCTGGTAGAGGAGGTACGAACCGGCACCCATCGACTTCCCAATCCCGGGCATCCCAATCAACACACGCCGCCCAGGCGTAAAGTTGTTCTCACCGCGAGTGCTGAACCATTCGGTCAGATCGCCCTTGACGGTCTGCCACACTCGATCCACCTCACAGTTCACATAGCAGTCACGAATGGACGGCCCCAACGGCCACGAGTACGGCCATGCCTTGTCCGAGGTGAGCACCATCAGCCTCAGACGTGGTGCACCGGACTGCTCCACGCTGTCATCCCTTTCAAGAGTTCGGCCAACTGCCTTGTACGTCCATGACTGCGGTGGTTTGCCCTCCCTCACTTCCATTCCCATCCCCTCGCCGTCAGTAAATTCCACCACGTGATGCCACCTCGCATTGTACAAAGAATCGTAAAATCCCTCCGACATCTGTATCTTTTCCTCTTTCAGCACCCCTCTAAGTGCCGCATCGAGTTCTCTCCTTGCAAGAGGACTGACCATATCCTTCCGTTCAAAGTCCCTCCACTGTCTGAGAGAGCGCACACCCATTTGAGAAACATTGTACGTATCCCGTCGAAGTCCGCGCATCTCTTGCAGCACTTGATACTCTGACAAATTAAAAATTTCTTCAAGCAGCTTCTGATCCTGTACGTAATTCCTGGGCTCCACTAAAAATACTTCCATCGTCACATTGTATCTTTCATCGACAACTGCGCTGGGGCCGATATGCCCCCGAAGAAAATCATTCAGCTTCATGTAATTGCCGCGGGCCTTTCCCCCCAACAGTACATCTTCCACCCAACTGAAAAGGCCCCACTGTGGTCGCCGCGTTTCCTCCACTCTTCTGCGAGGCACAGCGGGTTGGCCACTGTCGCCGTCGGACTCCGCCCTCGCTCGCGCCCGACGTCCCCGCAACACCGTAGACGCGGGACTCGTCTCATTATCGTCATTTCCTTCCCCGTGACGCTCGGACATTCTTTGCGCTGTCTTCGTAGTCGGTTTCACTTGGAGCTGTGACCCAGCAGACAATCAAAAGAAGGACGAGAGAAGAGAACAATAGGCACAGAAATGACCGACAAGCACAACAAAAGCGTCATCCACACGGTGCGGGGCACAGCGTGCAACGCACACCACATGCACGAAAGCATGAGCTTATCGCTCCTGACACACACACACACACGCACACACACGCACACACACACAGAAAAAAAGAATGCGGGAAGGGAACGCGGCGCAGTCAAGACCACACAGAGACCTCGAACGGTGCACGCCACAACAGCGGTGCATCATGGTAGTCTCCCACGCAAGAAAGAAAAGCGGACTGCATTTATCGAGGCAATCTGTCTGGTTTGCACGCTGCAGGACGAATTTGTTGCATTCTTTTTATGTATTCGTCACTCAGATCCGCATGTGCGAATACGCAGCCACGGCTCCTCCCTGTTGATACCACTGTTGCTAATGTCGCCTGACTGGGGGGAGGAGAGGCCGTAAGCGCACGGCATGCCACGGGCATCGAATGAACATCGTGAAAACTAACCAACATGAGCCATGCGATAAGTAAATTCTGCCGATACTCCACCGCCCAGTTCTGCCGGCGAGTAAGAAAAAAATAAACATAAAGTGAACACCGGTGAAGCGAGGAACCATGCTGTACGAAAAAGTTGGCGCAGTTTTCTCCCCGAGTTGGAAATGCTCTGCCGCCCCCAACAATGACGTCACGCGGCGACGAGGTGGAAGACGCCCTGCAGATGCGACAATCCTTATATGTTCCCGGCATGTGTCTTCTCTCTCCTTTTCTCATTCACTGGTTCGCCACCTATTTTTGGCAGCGACGGATCAATGTGCCGCCGCGCTGTTCCGGGCGGGCGGCGCTGTGGGGTTGTGCTTCGCGGCCTTCGCTGCAGCTCCCTCTCCGGGCGCCGGGGCTCCCTTTCAAATCTTCACTCAGTGTGCACGCTGAGACGTGATGTGCCGGGTTCATTCCTGTGCTGTCTATATCCGTGGAGACCAATTTTTAATTTGAAGGCAAGGAATTGATGCCGCAGGCCTCCTCTTTGAACCGCGCCACGCAAATGTTTGCATGACAAACGCAACCGCAACAAAATACACAAGAGTAAGAAGCCGAAGGCATTCACAGAACGCAGCAGGTCAAAATAAAGAGGGTGAGCGAGAGAGAGAGAAAGAGAGCACAAAACAAAAATAAAATAAAAAGGTGGAAAAAAAAGTACAACAACAAAAACATGAGGCCTTCCCACCACCACCAATAAGATTCCCAGCTCTTCCGTGTCCAACGTTCTCGAGAAAAGGAAGTAACCGTCGGCAAGAACAAAAAAAGAAGGGAAAACCGTTCTTCCTTTCCCTCTCCCCCTTCCTTCCCCAATGAAAAAACAAAGAGGGGAGAAAAGATTGAAAGCGAATGAAAAGGCGAGAGCAGAATAAACTCAGTATAACTGGAGTACACTTTGGAGTCTTTCCACCGACACACCTCTCCACATGCCCCTCTCCTTTGACAAAGAAAAAGGAGGCACATTGGATGCCCGTGTTTCGGGTATATACATGGAATTGAGCCATTTTTCCAGGTGCAGCATGGGGCACACATCTTTCTCTGCACCGGAGGATTTCAGCACGGCCACCACTTTCTCCCGATAATTCTCTCCTAGAAAGGACACCGCCTGTTCCAGCAAACCATCGACAGGAACCATGAACGGCGCTGCCGCATCGTCTCCGTCGCCTGGTTGAAACGATTCACGCAGAGTGTCTCGGGCATCATAGAGGCGATCCACCACATACTGCATCTCTCGACTCACAAAAAAGCGATCGAGCCTAAATTGATCCTCCAGAGCCCCAACAGGCGTCCCTGAGTTCGTCAGACTCAACAGGGCTTTTGAATTAAAAGTATTTGAGCAACCCAACGTCAGTTTCCCAGGAGCACTCTTGCGTCTCAAACCGGCACTATCGCGCGGTTTGAGGATTAGCGGAACACTCTCAGGGCTGTGGGGCCTGGCAGCGACGTTCTCTGCCGCAAGCAAAGAGCACGCAGAATTCCCTGCCTCCGATCGCGACAAAACCCGCAAAGCGGAGAAGGGACAAGGAGTGCTGCTTGAAAACAGTCTTTGCGTTGGTCCCACAGCAGACTCCTGTAATTCACTAGTCAAAGAGTATTCATCCGCACCAGCAATCCAGTGGGTTGTGCTACTACTGTCAGTCTTCCACGGTGCCACCATCTTGAGTGCCACATGCGGCCTTAAGAAGCTCAGCAGCTTCCCAAAATAAATCGTCTCCAAGTTACATATACCGCAGATGGTTGCGAAAGTCACACTCTCCGTAAGAGAGCGGGAAACCGCGTGGATGCCCAGGAGACGCAGACCGCGAAAAAAGGCCCGCCACGAGCATTTCCCAGTATACATGGCAGAAATGGAAACAGTGTCCCACTCTCCGTTCATATTGACAATATCCACAACAGGTTCCCCGCAGTCGTCCTCAATTCCATCCGCCTCGCCCTTGGGAAGCATGAAGCATTCATATATTTTTTGAATGCAGTGCCGATTGTGGTGTAACCGATGGCGCAGCTCCGCCAATCCAGAAGCAACAAATGCCGGAATCCGACGTCCTCGTGATGCATCATACGTGGAAACAGATGCCGAGAGGGTTGTTTCAAACGAAAATGAGAGTCGATCCAAGTCAAGTGATTGTTTAAATGAAATTAACCCACCCGCGCGCTCGTGTTTCTCACGATGCAACTGACGTGATATTTTTGACACCAATGGAAGACTGATACCCGCGTCTCTGAGCAGTACAAACTGAATGGTGGGGTTTTCCAGCACCATATTTAAAATCCATCGTCCCACGTTGTCGTTCAGTTGGTTGCCAGAGAGATCCATCCATGTCAATGAGGGGTGCGTCTGCAGAATGGCAAGGAGTGGCCATGCCGCCTCCTCCGTCAAACCAATAGAGGGCATAAGTAGATGTGTCATGGAGGTGCAAAGGCCAATAACAGGGACAAGCGCGGCACAGCCATCACGTCCCATGTAGGCAAGCGAAAAATCAAGCACCTTCACCTTCTTGACCCAATCTTCACCTACAAAGGAGGGAAGCTGCCTCAACACATCGGCCTTGGGACGTACACGGTGCTGCTGACAACTGTGTGTATAGACGTAGCGTAGGCTGTGCCGTTCTTTTTCTTTGGTTGTCTCATTGGGCGCGTCACACAAATTCCCCACGGAATTTGTAAAAGCTGGCCAAATGTCATCGGAAAACTTGCGGGAGAGGCCCCCAACTGCGTGGTCCGACAGATCCTGCACTTCATACATATTCTTCCTACTAATGAGATGTGCTTTACTGATATCTTACGCAGCTCCCCTCTTTTCGTGTGTGTGTTGTTCCTTTCCTTTTTGTTTGTTTGTTTGTGTTCCGGATTCCGACAGATGTCCGTTTCACAAAAGAACACAAAAAAAAAAAAAAGGGGGGGGGGGGGCCATACAACATGTAAATTATACAAACAGAAAAGCACACAGACACCTTATCTATTTATATAGATAGATAAATAAACAAATAGAAATAAATATCTAAATATAAATAAATATATTAAAAAAACGCTACGCATCCATTTCACTGAATGGTTCATCCTTTTAAATACGCTTACTTTTGTGGTTGTTGTTGTTTTCTCCATAAAACGCTCCAAGTGATGCATGGATCATATCCTTCTCTAAATCCGAAATGAAGATAAAGACAAGGGTAGCCATTTTCTTATATTGCCAGCTTGGAAAACATATTATAGTGGTCAAGCTGCGCATACCACCAATCTTGCCAAGAAACAACAACCTCATTTTCAACGCCAAGAAGTAGCATTAAATTTCCCAAGTTTTCGCCAAGATACTCACGTCGCATCCACGCTGGTATCACCAATGGCTTCTGTGTAGAATCTTGCCTCGCTTCTTGGGCCGCAACGTACACTGGATGTGCCATTCGATCGATCCAACGGATGTCTTGTGTGTTAAAAGCCGGTGGTTCTGCAGTTTTTCTAAAAAGAAGAAACTGCATGAGCGTCGATTTCTCGGGCACTGCAATGTTATCGGCATCTTTTGCTCGCTGATGCTCCGAAGCAAGTGTCCATAAAACATTCCCCAAGCACATAGACAAAAAGACATAAATGCCAAATCTTGCATTTCTCAAAAATCCTTTTCCACACGACGAAGCGTCGTATATATTGACATCATCCACAATACCCTGAAGATGCCAAATGCATAAAAGAGTTGCAATATAAAACGGAAGAGACTGGGAGACCATTAATCCAGAGATAAGTATTCCAAGGCCCACAGGAAATATCATAAGGGTCAGAATATACTTACGATCCCCAATAAGAATGGCAGAACTCTTCACCCCACATTTCATATCGTCATCCCTGTCTTGATATGCGTATATTGTGTCGTACAAAATGGTCCATACAACGCCAGAACAAAAAATAGGCAACGTGACCGCAAGATCCACACGATTTAGAACAGCAGCATAACCAACAAATATGCCCCAATTGAAACATAACCCCAGAAAAAACTGAGGCACATACGTAACGCGCTTCATTAATGGATAAACGGCCACCAGTGGAACAATCGAAAAGGCTGCCAAAAGAGCCATCGGAGATAAATTCATGACAATTACAAAAGCAAAAGCAAGATTCAAAAAAAGAACACCAGAAGCCTCCGTCATGCCAATCGCTCGATTGGCCAATGGACGAGTTTTAGTGCGTGATACCAATTCGTCAAACTTCCTGTCCAACATATCGTTCACAACACAGCCGGCGTTACGCATCAAAAACGCCCCAGCTGTAAACAAAACGGCAAGGTGTACTGGAATAAAAGGAGCAAAAAGAGCCACCGGATCAGCCCCTTCCCACACAATTGCCTTCGTAACAGCAAGGCTGGAACCCCAATAGCACGGTAACATCAATAGTACGGTTCCGACTGGCCTATCCGCGCGTACAAGACGGACCCACAGTCTCATCCTATTTGTCAACCATTCAATATGTTTCGGTACCTTACGACCGTTGCTCCTGGACACGTCGTCAATGGTCCATTGACGTTTTTCCTTCGCAGAGCAGTCTGCACCGCGCAGTGCGGCCGGATCAGCCCTCACCGCATCAGGAAAATGAGCCATGGATGAGGTGATAGAACCCTTTGTCCAAGAGCGTGTTATCTTGCGAAATAAACACGCCCGCCGCAGCATTCTTAAAAGGCACGTTAAACTTCCCTTTCGCTTACGTTCCTTTGTAACAATAAAATAAAGAAAAAAGAAAAAGGAAGAGCGTCTTTTATTTATTTATTTACACGCACGTACTTCTTTTTCTTTTTCTTTTTTTTTTTTCCTTTTTTTCTTTATTTCCATTCCCATTCCTTCTCTACTCCCCTCATTCTTCGCTCCATTTCTCCTTCTCAACGTCCTTTTCCCCCTCATCCCTTTTTTTTTTTTTTTTGTGCACGCCCATGCATTTCACCTCTCCCCCAAACGAATGCAGTAATTAGAGAGAAGTAATAGATGCAACTTCTACCCTCTCTCTTTACAAAAAAAAAAAAAAAAAAAAAAAAAAAAAGATGGCCGTCTCTATTAGTGAGATATCACCGTCTCAACGCGACAGGTATCCACTAACACATCCACAGTCTTAACGATCATTTAAGAATTTCATAAAAATCTTCTTGTTTTCCTGAGGTGTTGTCGTGGGACGGCCCAAGTCTGGCCGATTGCCTTTTTTCACAAGAATTTCCAAAAATGCCGGGCCCATGGCCTCCTTCAGCTCCGACATAGCCTTCACCAAATCTCCCAATTCCATCACCGGCTCCTCACGAACAGTCGTAAATCCACATGCTTTTGCTACTTGTGTAATAGAAATATCATAGGCTGCGGTGGGTTGTCCCCCCACTGAATCGTGAGCACCATTGTTCAATACCACATGCTTGTAGTTATGAAGAAGACGGGATGCGTCATCTCCGTTTACCGACTGAACAGCAGCGGCTCCACCATGGACCGCAAACGATCCCATGTGCATGATGGCGGCCCCATCACCGTCGAGGCAAAATACCTGTTTCTCTGGCTTTGCTAGTGCAATGCCTGCCGCTATTGAAGAGCAATGCCCCATGCAACCAACCGTAAGAAAATCCTGAGCGTGTCCCATCCCACTACGCTCACGAATCTCAAAGACTTCTCGCGAGGGCATTCCTGTCGTGCTCACCACAACATCCTTCGTGTCCATCTGCCGCAGTACCTGCTCAATTGCCTCTTCACGAGACATTGGAATTCCTTTCAAATCGTTCCATGACTTCAAAGTTTTGTGTTTGCTAAACAGTCCCGGGCGCACTAAAAGGGTGTAAGGCGTTCCAGCAGACTGCATGTGTTCAAAGGCCACGTCCAGACTTTTTTGCATTGAAGCCTCCACATCATCGCAATCAGCTGACAAGACGGAGTACGGTACCTCCAGAACGCGCAAAAGATCTTCACTCAAACGTCCCTGTGCCACATGTTGTGGCTCATCCTTCACGCCCGGGGCACCGCGCCAGCCCACCAGCATCAAAAGAGGAATACGATACACCTCAGCGTGTGCGAGACTAAGAAGCGGGTTTATAATGTTACCCAGCCCGCTATTTTGCATGTACACCAAAGGGAACTCCCCCGTTGCCAGGTGATGACCAGCTGCCATTGCAAGAGCATTACCCTCATTCGCTGTTATGATATGTTCACGTGGGTGGGTGTTGTCCGTGACAAAGGCGCAGAAATCCTTCAAAAGGGAATCGGGAACGCCAAAAAAACGGGTCACCCCACGCCGTCGAAGAGCATTGTAGAACAGTTCAGGTGCCAACTTGCCCATTAAAACAACGCGCGTAGTACGAAAGTAAAACTCCACAAAAACAGTAACAATAGCGGCAATAAGCAGTAAGCTTGCCCGGCTGAGACCTAGCTCCCTATTGCCAGAGAAAGAAAGAAGAATAAAATAACAATTGACATTTTGGCTCAATGCGTCCAGCATCCCGCAAACAATTCAGAAACAATTTATCCAACACGCACGCACCCACAAACAAAGATATTCACAAAATACATGCCGTCAGCCCTGCACCAACAGGCCCGTGAGGGAAACATGGCTGGCTCCTGGCCTCCCCGGACAATAAGGGGCGATTGACCCTGGCGCACCACGCTGAGGCGGCAGTCTTCAAAAGGGCCACCGCAACCGCCAGAATTCCCTCCGCGTGGCAAGTTGCTGCAGCGGTATTAGTCTTAAGAAAGTGGGCGAGTGCAAGGACAGAAAACACAAAGAAATGCACTCGATGTCCTGCAGCGCACCAACATGTAAAAAGAAAAAATAATAATAATGGTGGGGGGATGAGAAAACCACGCCAACCTCCTCCTTAGCCTCCCTTCCCCCATATGATCGCACATTCCCTCCAAAAAACTGAATCTCTTCCAGGCAGATATAGTTTTTAGAAACGGTAAGAGAGCACGCACGATCATTGCATGACCATTAAAACCCCACAGGCTGAAAATCATCGCCTACATCATCCCAATTTCACTTCCTTCCCCTCGAGTTCCAGAGATGTTTTATAACGAGCCCATACCACCGACGCACTTGAGGTAGAACGCTACCACGTCCTGTGGATGGCGACACTGTCCACCGAGCAACAGGATTCCTTGATGAGTCTCAACCACAGCCGGTGTGTAACGCCAGTGCGGGCCCTCGCGGCACCTCAATGTTGGCTCCACCAGGCGCAATTGAAGCAGGCCTTCCCCTGATTCGCACCAACACACCTGCTTCACCTTGTCACATCCTTCGACAGCGTCCTTGCCACCAACAAATACTGCAGTCACCTTCCCTTCTTCGCGGAACAGGCCACCCGCATGGCCATTGGACCTTGGAAAAACAACATCCTCATCAGCAGCATTTACTTCTAACTGCGTCCATATACAAGCGGATGAGAGATCGCAGAACCAAACGTCGTTTAGGCTCTTAATGTCACCATTCACAAAATGTGCCCCGCCATAAAGCACGCAAACATGAGATGAAATAAATAAGAGGGGACCAGCGAGAAGACGGGGCGGCGGAACAGGAGCCTCTGTCTTGATACATTTCCACAAGAGTGTGACAGTGTCTAACATGTACATATCATTGCTCTGGTCTGCGCTGTCTTGCTCGCCACCAAATACAAAAAGATACGTTGCTGTTCCCCCCGCCGAGTGTTGTGTCCGTGGTGGAGGAATGCTTCCGGTAGTCTGGAGATCTTTGACGTCAAGAGTGGGAAGTCTGTCTGTAAAATCCAGCCCCACTCGAAAAAGACGATTGCACCGATTCAAGTTTGCATCCAGTCCGCCAAACATGTACGCCTCAGTGGGGTTACCAACACGTGTCAATGATGCCCCATCGCACTCAAAACAGGGCAGATGCTCGGCAACAGTAATCCAGCAAAGAACTGGCTGTGGAAAGACTTTGCTGATCATGACACTTCCATCGCGTTCCCCCTCGCAGTAACCTCCAACACACATCACCCACTCCTCTCCGGTCGCTGGATCCAGCAGACACGTCGCACAATGTCCCTCACGAGCGCCCAGTGTTCCCACCCTTTCCTTGCACGGGATCCACTCCATAATTACCCTCCACGCTTCACGGACCGTTTACTTCACCTCCTTCTATTCTCCACCTTCGTCCTTTTCAGGTAAGCAGAAAGAGTGAGAATGGTAGAAAAGTCCAACCGGCCATGTGGTTCCTCTTTCCTTTTTAATACATTGGCCACTACACAAGTAAGGAGACAAGCAAACCCCATCCACACAAAATTCCCATCATCATCACCGTCACCATCCTCTTCTTCCTTTTTCTTATTCCTCCCCAGACAAAGAGCAGTCCATTTTCGCCCTCAATAAACATAAAAACACAAACAAACAAACACGGCAGTTCCAAAGCCCTACTTTTTAGCAGGTAATTCCAAATATTCCTCTTCGAGAAAATGTAACGCGTCACGAAGTTCCGCAGCAGCCACATCCTCCACGGCGTTGTGAGCCTCGTACAGAAGCTTTACCGCAGTGCAGCTCCACTCATGCGTGCACGTGGTGATCCGAGGACGCTTGTTCATTGCCGTTGGGGAAAAAGGCAACGGTGCTTTCGCATTTGAATGCTGTCTATTCGCCTCCGATGCGGACAACACCCGAGCCACGCGGTCAAGCGGAGCCAAACACTGAAATGCTTTGGTTCTCTCTCGTAATCCCCCTCTTTCTTCTTCTTCGCTCTGCTCTTGTTGAGGCTGCTCCTTCTCCGCCGCACTTGACGCTGTCATAAGGCGATAGAAGGTGGAAAGCTCCTTCAGCACGGACGCAGGTGTGTGGTGGACCTTTAAACTAGCAGCGCACCACTTCGAGAGTCGTTTTTGAAAGGCCCCCCGTTCAAATCGATCATCCAACAGCAACATCGCACCGTAGTCACGGCGGTTCCGAAGGCAACGTCCCAGGGCTTGATTCACTGCACGTATGGCATCGATGACATACCACTCCTCGCCACTGTACCTTCTCTGCGCCTCAACGACCCAAGAGTTAAGTGGTCGAAGTGGGATGCCCACACAAATAACAAGCCGGGCCATGTTGTCCGCAAAGTCAATCCCCTCCCCCACCTTCGCACGACACACAGAGAGGAAAACAGCCGTGCTCCGACGCGTCACAACACGGAATGTATCCAAGATGGAAGAAAACGCCATCGCATCTTTGGGTTCTATGAATATCCGTAGTTCCCGCCCCGTCTCATCACAAATTCGAGAAGAGAGTCTTGAACCCACCATCCGCATGACAACATAGTTCGGCAGAAACACAAGCACTCCACCCAGTCTTACCTGTTTGACAAATTCAAAAATGACAGACACCAGACGGTCAATAAAAGACGCGTCTCTGAAATTCTCATAGTTGCAGTGAAGTCGAGCACCATCCATCATGTGTGTGAGTACGGATATTCGGTATTGGTGTACGCCTGCTATATGCAACCCCTCATAAGTTGCCATGTCGGAAGGCGAAATGCCAAGATCCTGTCCAAGCTGGTGGAAAGGTGCCAGTGTCCCCGACGCCAACACCACACGATGGGTGACGGCCAAAAGATGGTGAAACGCAAGACTACCATCCAAGCAGCGAATGCCCACAGTCCTTCGCAGCGATGGAGGTGGCTCCACCAGCCCCTTCTGAGCAACACAATTTAAAGTGGTATCGCAAATGTTTACCGCAAAGGCCGATGGTTTCTGCAGCATGAAGCGTATCACGAGAAGCCACCTTTTCATGATGGACAAACCAAAAATAGAAAACTGAAACGGATTAAACGTAACCCCCAACGACATGACAATACCGTAAACCTGACGGAACATCACCACGGAATCCATCGAGGCATTAGATAAACAGCGGGCAGCATTCCCATGTTCCATACCAACCGTTCCAAACGTGAAGGGCAAATGGTCGAGAATACAAAGCTGTATGACATTAGCAAGAGCTTCGCCGGACAATGTCGGTCCTCTCTTCCCTTCAGCCTCATCGTCATCATCGTTGAGCCTTCGCCGGGGTGTTTGATGGGTATCTGTGTCAATCCATTCTTGCCTCTCCACAAACTTCACAATGGCAGTGAACACATCGTAGAGAAGTGAAAAGAGCTCTGCCAGTGTCCAGTGTGTCAGTTTGAACTCCCGAGGATAACTGAGTGTTGCCATGGAAGTAGAAAAAGTGATGAGGGGCTCAATTTCGCTCACAACAAGACGTAAGTTATCCAGCGTTGTCTCTAGCGAGAGTGCGTCTTGGCAAACCGACGGCACATTATGTGCCTCATCAAAAATAATTATAGAATGGTTTTTCAGTGCCGCCTCCATCTTGCACTCGTGGCGAATAAGAGGATCCAGGAGGTACTGATACGTAGCAAAGTTGACATGAGCAAAGAATACAAGTTCTCTAGTGGCGTAGTATGGACAGCTCTGAGTCGCCACCCCCTCTGCAACCAAGTCTTCCATGTCCCACACCTTCTCCAACCGCCCTTGATGGAGTGGATGGCTGATGGCTCGGCTGCCAAGAACCCCATAATTGCAAACGGCCTCGCATTGGCCAAGAGAAACAAGCTTGTCACAAATCTCACCCAAGTTATTCCCCTCCACTGGTAGTGTATTGTTCGCTCGTGCCTTCAGCACGGTGCTATTAATGCAGTATCGCTCTCTACTTCCAAGAATATTCATTTTGAGACGATGAAGACCGTGAAGCTTCCGTAGTTCCCCAACAGCCTGACGCACTTGCGAGTGGGTTCGTGTAACGTAAAAAACACTGCAGGATGGAGGCTCGTGCTGCCGACGAAGACTCCAAGGTGTGCCATCCATCTCCACACGAAGACGTTTACTATTGTTTGCACGGAACTGTTTAAAAAACTCGGTTGGCACCCGCCACTTCTCTTCGCCGTCCACTGCGTCATCAGGGATGCGTTTCCCTTTCGAGTTACTTTTGCTCCTCCCACTGCCCGCCAAAGTCTCCTCAGCTAACAAGGACTTTGGCAACGATGTCGCAGCCGGTCTCCATCGACGATACCGCATGTGCTGCTCCAGTTCCTGTGGGGTGAGTTTCTCCAGTGTGGCCTGATAGCGCAGTACACTTGACAGGAGGGCCAACGTCTTGCCGCAGCCAGTGGGAACCTCAACCGCTGCCACGGGAAGGATTGGGGACGAGGATTGAAGACAATTGGTGATTGTGTGCATCATCCCCCTCTGCACAGGATACGGCTCAAAGGGCATATCATACGCCACGTCAGACGGGGTGTGGACAGCCTGCGGCATTCGCTGAGAAATAAAGCAGATCACCAAAGGAACAACAAAAAAAAAAAAAAAAGAAGTAAAAGGTCTTCTTCCCTCCTCACCACCACCCCTTTTCGTCTCCAGTAGAAAAAAAAAAAAAAAAAAGTTACACCACATGTGGAAGCCATACTCACAGATATATATATATATATATATATACGTGTATAGTTGTAGAACAGGGTCACATGGCGCGAGAGAGAAACAAAAAATAAATGAAAAGCGGCATGGAAAGGTAAGAAGAAGAAAAAAAAAAAAAAGTAAGTGTTGTCTATGGTCTGTGATATAACGCGACCGCGCTCCCATTTAAACCGTTACTCCACGCGTTAAAAAAAGTTACACTAAAAAAAAAAAACATAAAAACATAAAAATGCCTCCATCTCCCATCAACACTCATTCAATTTAAAAACGCAGCATATTTTCACCGCCAACACCACCACTACCACGTGGACGCTTTTGAAACAAAACCTCCGGCACCAAAAAAGAGGAACCGGTAGAGGGACGAGTGTTGCTGTCTGGTGCCACACCACTTACGCGCCCACCAAAGCCAGTACTAAGCCTCGTCCTCATCCTGGGCTCCGTGCTAAGACGACCTCCCGAATAAAGTGCATCTCTTCCTATGCTCGTTCTACCAACCTCTTCTTCATACAAACACGCCCGACGTCGGGCCAACTCCTTTGCAATGAGAGCAGAGAGATCCGTATCCCCGGCCTGAAGAGCAAAATGCATGCGGTTGACAAGCTCGTCATTGCTCATTTGGCCAAGGCCAAGATTGGCTAATGCCTGCCGTGCGTAGTACTGCGGAAAGAGGCTACCCAAAAGCTTTCCCCACCATGTAGAGGGCTTTGTGACCATCTGGGTATGGGAAGCGGCAGGCAGTTGAATAGCAGTCCCACCGACTGCAGACGTCTCCAATCGCAGCTGACGCTCCATCCGCTCCTGTCTATGATAAACATCCTTCAAGGTAGTAATAAAGGCACAGTCCTTTCCCTCCCACAAGGAGGGGTCATACGGCGGAGCATCAAGTTTGGGCGATCTCCCTGCGTTTTCAGCTTGAGTACGGGACATGAAGGACAGATGCTGCAAAAGAATCTGTAAGTTGACCTTGTTTCGTCTCTCTTTCCCTCCTTGACTGTTTGTGTGCGTGTGCGTGGAAATGAATTATTGATCAGCAAACATGTTCAGAATAAAAAAAAAAAAAAGAATATCATGACGCAAATAAAAAAAATATAGATCCATCCCACATTTCTCTCCTTCTCCTTCTCCCTCCTGCCAACATACATACACACATACACACTTACACATAAGAAAAAAAAAAAAAAGAAGGGTTCATCCACTCTTCACTTAATTAATTTACTTCGGTGCATCTTCGGCTCGTGTATCCACCCCTCTCCCCCCCCACGTTGCCTACTTCCATCCTGTGCGCCGCTGGCACAGTGTGATCTTCTCTCACCATGTAACATTCCAAGTATTTCGGTTGATGGTCTTGAACGGCACATTTACGGGGGTCCGGTTGCGCACCTCAGCTCCACGCCGGATACGCGGCACCGTCTTTGGAGCACAAGGGAATCTTTGCTGTCGACGCAAAACGGTGAAAAACACCCTCTTTGCTTTGCTGTTGGGTAGCATGGGGACAGTGTGTCCGGCGTACCGGGCCACCTCACCGTCCTTGAGTGTCCTTGCCAGAGGCTTCTCAAAAAGACGCATCTTCATCGCCTCCTCATCTCGCTCACGGCGCTCCATGTTTCGCAGAAGGTGCTGTTCGCCCCATCGATACGCCTTCCTGACAGGATCGGCGCTATCTGGTAAAAAAAGCGGCCCGTCATGATCCCACACCTTCCCCTCCCCGACCAACGGCAAATCGTGTTTATCCGTCACAAAGCCAAGGCCATCCTCAAACCCACTGTAGATGTCCTGCATGGACTTCACATACCCAGGGTCACGGCTTCCAATGTCCCAGATGCCCTCCGGGGCAGGAAGGAGAAGAATACTTTCTGATCCAGCACAACGAAGCAGTTTCATAAGTTCACTGATGGCAACATTGGCGTAGCTTCCACGTTCCAAGACAAACTCCAATGTCAACTTTGACTCCGCTATATTATACTCATGACGCAAATTTATGGGTTTTCGAATGATGGGTCGCGGTGGCTCAAGAAAATCGTGAATCCCCGTTTGTGCATGATGTGCATGCCAATCCAAGTGGTACTTGCCACAGACTTGAAGATAATATTCCCCAACCGTATTCATGGGTCGTTGAATACCATTAAAGGAGAACCCAGGGTGCATAACATCTGTAATGGTGTAGGCCGACTTCTCTTCTTCGTCTG